ATTTAAGAAATTTCAACTCGATTGAATTTTCAACTTAATTAAAACATGTAATTTAGAATTCCGCGATATTGCGTTGTAATAAACATACCACACTCGCTCATTAATTCCCCTAGAGGTTGTAGAATAACTACGCCACGCCATCTACACACCAGGCGTAAGTCGACACCTTTCGTTCATTGGTTTGGAGCAACAGCACGTGCGATAAAATTTCGCTAGGAGTGGCATAATGCGTGCAACATTGATCCCTCGTCGTTGAACACACTGGACAGGATTAATTGTTCGGCGTGGGCCTTACCAACGAGGCGTGTAATCGGCCCGGGGGGCCCGCCAACAACTGCCCCGAACGATCGGTGCGCGCGACGCGTGAACGCAGCGCGCATGCGCCGGGCTTCCCGCGTGAGACCTCGAGTTTCAAACGCGCAGCGCGCGGCCGCTTAATAAAAGGTAACCGGACACCAAGAGGCTGTAACTACGTTATACTACAGTTCAATTATCCGACAGTTAAGAGACCCTAAGCTGCGCCTAATTGTTTCGAGCCAAATGGCGCGACGTATCGATGACACAGTCGGCGTTGAAAACGAGGGTCAGGGTTGTAAAGTGTTGCACTTTTATACCGATGCGTGTGCATCGCAGGTGACTCATGGGCTTAGCAAGTGTGAAAATTGAGAAGTGGAGTGTTCTGGCCAGTACAATGTACAAAGTACCTCCTCTGTCAATCGTGTCATTCATTTGAAATGAAAGGAAACACTTTGCGCTTCAAATCCCTTCAAATTGGGGACTGAAAGGATTAAGATTAAGGTTAGAAAGTTAAATTCATTCAGATGTCTATATCCCAAATCAGTATCGCAGACGAACGATCAAAGGGGTAGCCAGCGTTAATTTAGAATCTGCGAAGATGGCCTCGGCGAGAAAGTTATTCGTTTCGGAAATAAACAGCTCGCAGATTAGATCGTGGATTCCCCCCCAAGAGAAGGGACACGGACATGGGGTTGAGCAATTTTAGGACCCGGAGTGCTTCTGGTTCCCCATTCAACTACAAAAGGGGGATCGTGAAATCTTGTTTTCCATGTTCCAGAGAAAACTCTGACACGTGTCGGCGCACGCATCGTTCGTATCCTTTGTTCGGCGATTACAATGGCCCTCGCGACTCGAAATGAATGAACTGAATTTCGGGGATGCTGCCTGTTTCTCGATCAACTGTCCAGCAGGGTGAAACACGTGACGTGGAAAGCAAGAGCGAGGATGCTAAGCGAGCAAACGCGTATGTCGTGGTTAATGGAAGAATAATAAAATATCGATAATAGAGTATCTCTTCACGAAAGATCCTAACTTCTTTGGAAACTAGAAATAAACCTTAAACTGTCTTAAACGAAGTAATAACTTTACTTTTGGTTACGTCACGAACTTAAAATAACTTTCCCTAGCTATTTTAATATTTCGTTTAAACTAGGAAAATGTATTTATAATATTATTATTCTGCAATATTATGCATCTATACAGTTTCTATAATTTTTGACTCGAGAAAAGACAGTGCAATAATCCATCATCGTTTGAGACTGTCTGCCACAATCATTGGCAACACCTCTCAACTAAATCTCATCCCTGCGATGATTGATCCAAGCAACAGAGCTTCAAAGACAGTCATCGTCGTTTGCCAAGAACTCACGCACGCAGCACGAATGGTATGAAACATTTCGGCGGAACAATGGCAGCGATTTTAGCTGGTGAAACCTCGCACGAAGACAGAGAGACGAACGAAAATAGGGTTGGGCCGAGGGGTTGCAACGACGACGAGAAAGGAAGGCGAAGAACGAGAGGAAAAGAGGGCTCCCTTTTGGTTTGGACGTTGCAAACCGCAGAGAACGTTCGGTTACTTCCGCGAAAGCATCGACAGAGGGTGCAGACCGGGGCCGGTAATTGAAATTTCTTTCGAGGAAACCCCTGCTGTCGCCCTTGGGCCAACCACCCTCCCCTCTCCCCTCCCCTCCCCTCCCC